ATAAATATAAATATAAATATAAATATAAATATAAATATATATGCTTGAAACCATATCTGTGCCCATCCTCTCCAGGGCCAAGCAAGTCTTATATATGAATATATCCTGACCTCATATGTAACTGTTATCTGTTTATTTATACAAATAGACAAATAAAATTTATGTAAGTAATTCAAAAACTATTCGCTTTAACCTCCTGCTTTACCCATCAGACCTGCTAGACAAGTAGAGGGTAGAAGGCTCATTGAATTTCTTTTCTTTTCCCCCTCTACTTTTTGTATGGGTTCTGATAGTAAGAGAAGGCATCAGAAAGCCTGTGAAGCAAGTAATCCATAGATGGGTAACCTTGCTGTGACTAATGGAAGGTTGACTTTACCTTTCAACTTTCCAGATTTCTCTGTCACTTGATGAAATTTTTCTTTCTCTTCTCTACCTGTTAGGATTTATTTTTGCCCTTCCATTTCCATAGGCAGATTTGGCCTGATGGTGTCCTAACCTTCTCATTGTGTCTTCCCTCCTCCAGCTATCTTAATGACTTGGACCGTGTTGCCGACCCTGCCTACCTGCCTACGCAACAAGATGTGCTTAGAGTTCGAGTCCCCACCACAGGGATCATCGAATACCCCTTTGACTTACAAAGTGTCATTTTCAGGTAGTAAATGAGTCCATAAAACCCACCTTCCAGCTCCTATGCCTTGAGTACATTTGGTGAACTCTACAAATACTGAAATCCATTGTAGACTTTGAAACAATATCACCTTTATACCAATTATTATCATTAGACACACAAGTAAAATAACGTGTTCCAGAAAGAGGAAGTAGAGGAAAGGTGTGTGGGCAGGTTTCTCATTTCAAATTCGATCACAAAGAAATCAATGAAATCTTAGTTTGCTGGGGGTTGAACAAAGTCAGTCACTTAAACATTGCTCCTATCACTCTTTGAGAATCATTTTAACTGTGAGGATAGATTTTTAGATTTGTATAATATATGAATGATCTTAGGACCCTACTAATAATAGAAACTATATACCATCACAAGCTTTCGTGTTGTTTCCCAAGCGTGCTGGTACCAATGCAAAATTCTTCAGTTGCAATAACAATAGGGGGTGCTTCATATTCCTAAAATAACTTGCTTGAAAAATTTCAGAATATGTTACTTTGAAAATGGATTGGTTAGCCCAGTCTAAATGTATGTAGGAAAAAAGAATGAAAAATTCTGTTACTGTTCTGTGTGGGTAATACTTCAGAAGTGTTCTCATTTTTTTTTTTTTAAGAAGAGAAAAATAATATGCTTTCATTTAATCACTCGGTTGTACTTTCAGTTAGAATACAAACCACATTGTGCTTTGAGAAATGAAACCGTGTGAATATGTCTTTGAGCACAGAGAGTTGAGTTCTTTGGGGAAGCCTATGCCATTGAAGACAACTACATACACTACAGGGGTGTGAAATAGGAGTTAATGTGACCTGAGTGACTCCACAGTGGTTCAGATGAGCAGGCTGTCTGTCATTCCCTGACAAAGTACTCTGGACTTTAGTCGAATCAGTCTCTGCCCTACAGTTATGCCTGACCGCCAAATGCCACACTCATAGACATATCCGTAAAGGGGGTGATGTTTTGGAAATATTTCTGAACCTCCTTTTTTTTCATCTCTAAAATGGTTGCATTAGATGATCGCCAGCGTTCCTTATAGTTCCAGCATTCTGGATCACTTAAGCTTTGAGTTCATAGCGTTTAAAGATCTTTCATGGGGAACACCCAAATTTCTTTCCTCTTATAACTGTATGACAGAATACTTTCAGAAAATGTAGGGCATTTCGTAGAGATTTTCATCTCCTCATTGTTTGATAATTATTAATGAATTCTGAAGCATCTCGTTTTTATTACACCACGTACACTAGCTGTAGAGGACTTTTTTGCCACCACAGTAAAAGTAATGGCCAAGAAGAGTAATTCCCTGCCACCTTCAGAAGCATCTTACAGGGCTCAGAGTGACAGGGTTTTATAGAATGAGGATTTCATGTGAGTGAGTAGTGAATTGTTTGTTTGGCATGGGGAAAGAGCTAGAATTTAATATTTCTAAAAACTTAAGAATTTTAGTTTTGATGTCCATAGTTTATAGGTCTCCCTGAATCCATTGCTTTGCCCCTTAAATATCTCCTCTTTGCCTTAGAGAACTTTTAGAAGCAGTCCCTAGACGATCCTCGATTTCTTAGTTTATGTTTAATGCTTGGAGGCAGAGAGACACCAGGAATAACTGCAGTTTTTAAGAAATGCTCAAAGAGCCCTACTCTCAAACTTGTGTACCTAAAGCTTTCATTCTCTGATAGCATTTTATCCCACAAATGTGGTGCACGTGTTAGTTGAGATACGGATGGAACAGTTTGAAGCAACTTGGATTCGGTACCAAGTATTGCTTGATATTTTCATATGAACATTAAAACTCAAATTAATTGATGTCGTTGGTGGTTCCTAACTAGTAACTAGCACACAGTTGTGTTAAAAACACATCCTTGAAAGAGTTTGAATGATGCCTCTTACAGCATCGTGACATTTTACACACCTGACTTGTAGCAGGTTAACAAGTTGGTTTGTGCATAAGGCCAGTTGAGTCATGTTACCCAACATGACTGGACTTGTCCCAAATTATTGCCAATATTGGAAGGAGAAAGCAAGTCACAATACCCTTTGGATAAAGTGTCAGTGGAGTCCTGTTTGCACTTAGTTGAAGCATCACACACACCCATATTGAAATACATAGCATCTTGTATCTTTTAAATGTATTTACAGTCCTTTCTAGTGTCCTTGAGAAATACACAGGATCTTCATTCTCACTTCACAGAAAAAGAAACTGAAGTCAGTACTTGCCCTTATAGCTTACCACAAACCATATTTTGTTCCTGACTCTTCTGTGCACGATTAGGTAAAACACCATTTTGCTTGACTTCAGTCCCGGATTTTTTGCAAAGTTATCATTTTCATACACATCAGATAACTTTCTTGTAGCCACAGCGGCTTATTACCCGGAATGTCTTGACTTTGACTGTTAGGTAACAGAAAATTAGTAGATGTTTAATAAGTAATTGAATTGACTTGGATGACCATTCTCTTTAGAGAGTGTTTTTTTCCTAAGAGTATAAGTAAAGCTATATTTATGTTGAATTTTTCTCTTTATATGCTATTAATATAAATATTGTTAACCTTACAGAATGGTCGATGTAGGGGGCCAGAGGTCAGAGAGAAGAAAATGGATACACTGCTTTGAAAATGTCACCTCTATCATGTTTCTAGTAGCGCTTAGTGAATATGATCAAGTTCTCGTGGAGTCGGACAATGAGGTGAGTGCTCTTTGGACAGGCAATGGATTATCATTTTAATATCTGATACAAATAAGAGGATGCAGGGTGTGGAGCATGGGGTAAACTTATTTCACTGCATTTTGACTACTGGGTTGGAGATTTTTTAAATAATAAAAATAACCCTGTGGTAGCACATGGTGTAATGAGAACGGTAAACTCTTTTGTCAGATGTGTGAGCAGGCCCGTGTGTTCAGGCTTAATTTGACCCTATTTTATACTTTTAACACTCAGAAAATGAAAATAACATGGAAATCCCGAGGCTAACCCTCACATCTTTTTCTAGCCCTTTTCCTACTCTTCCTACAGGATGGAGCTGGGAGTGTTGGAGCCAGTCAGCCTGTTTTGTTTTGTTTTCGTTTTGTTTAAATCATTGTTTGGGTGTTGGGTGGGTCCCAAAGAGTACTCAAAACCTCTCTTGGCACATGTGAGTGACTTTGCAGCTGGGTTCTGAATCAGTTCATTGTGGAGCCAAGAAGTGTCTCAGTGACGTGGCCCTTCGGCTCTTACAGAATTCTATAGACTGTGGCATAATTCTATCTCTGCTAAGCAGTGAATGATTGGAAAAATACCCTTGATATGCTTGTGTGGAGAACTGATTCAGTATTTATAATCTTCTCCCCATTACATGAAATCCTAACAGGTATAAATACGGATTTTGAGGATGATAAAGTCTTGATGAGTCAGAATTGACTATGGAGAATAATGCAGGGGCATAGAAAACTCACTTCGAGCGGGAGTTCAGCGCGTGTGTGTTGGGGGAATGGAAAAGATTCCTGACATCCTGTTAGAGGCAGACATTGCAGACCTGCCAACAGTAAATATTAAATATCCTTCTGATAGGATAAAAAACAAAGAGAAGGAAGTGAGATATCTCCACTAGCTGATTAAAACACAATCTGACACATTAAAATACACTTTCCATACTATACATTTTTTGGTAAAGAAGAATGTTGGCTTCTGGTCCTTTTAAATATTTTATTTTTCTAGAAGCATTAATATCTGTATCAAAATAAATATGCAGTCCTTTATAGCATTTCTTTTGCATGTAGGATTGATAAAGAGTTCAGGAGGGACGCCTGGGTGGCTTAGTCATTTGAGCGTCCGACTCTTGATTTCCGCTCAGGTCATGATCCCAGGGTCATGGGATCCAGCCCTGTGTCAGGCTCCATGCTGCATGTGGAGCCCGCTTAAGATCCTCCCTCCCC